CCAGCTTAGAAAAAGGAGGAATCGGTAACTCTCCCACTTGGTATTTATTCCCACTCACCCCTTTCTGTGGCTTTGCTCTGCTATATGGTTGAAGGACCTGAAAGACTTCTGGAAAGTCATTCCTGGAGGCCAAAGTTGATGGGAAGGCTGAGTTCCTGGGCCTGAGAGATGTGTCAGGGCTCTGAATGAGAATGAAGGATGCTGGCCTTGGGCAATCCTGCAAGGCCAGTGGTACTTTGGAATCAGAACATGAATTAGATTATGATGGAATTGGGGAGGAGGGCTTAGCAGTCTGCAGAAAAGATGGGTGCTCATCTTCAGAGAGCCTATCCCAAAGGGTTGGGGACCAGGCATGTTCATAAAGAGAATTCCTGGAAGTAAACACCAAATTGGGTTCAACAACCTGCTCTGTGCATGCTCTGAGATCCATTCTGGGTGATTTGTACTTGGAAGCCGTAACGAACAACTGCAAGGAAAATGTGGCTGGTGGTTGATCAGAGTCAGGACCTGCAGCTCATAAGAGTAAGAGTCATTGCTGAAGAGAGGTGACTGCCTTAGTGACAGAATTCTTTCTGGGCTGATCCGGATCTTGCAGCCCAGGGTGATGACCTCAGGCATGCAAGAGCAGGCAGGACCCACAAGCATACCCTGCTCCAGTCACTGCATGATGATAACAGCATACAGGGGTTATAGCTTAGGAGAGTTCCTCCCACACCGAATAAACTACTGACTGGGTCTCTCAAGGTAAAGTTGGAGAACGTAAAATGAGCAAGAGGCTTTGCATCTTGAACTGCACAAGAATAGCATTCCTCAGAGCTAAGAGAAACTTTAGCCTCACCTGAATGCAAATTCAAACACCTGCTCTTACTGTGCTGCAGTACAAGATAAAGAACGGGCAGTCCCCAGAATGGGTGCAGTGTGTATGGTTTTTCCAAATGGATCTGGATTTCCATTTATTATAACAGATTGTGTAGTGGAATCTCTTTCTTATTTTTCTTGTCTTATTTTTCAGAAAAGAACTATTTTAAGCCACTGTGAAGAACATGAAGTACAAGTGTTATTCCATCTTGAACAATTTATATGTTAAAGTCAGATATGGCATCGGATCAGGGAAAAGGAAGCCTGGTAACACTGGAAGTTAAGACTGTCACAGTTCGAAGAATATGTTGATTGCTGGGGTACAGTAGTCACTGTGCTTTTGAAGAGAGCTGTCTAGGTTTATCCGTTTATTAAATAACTGCACTGCTCCACAGCAAAGTTCTCTGTGCAATGTAAAACAAAATACTATCAAATATAAAAGGCAGAATGAGCAATAAAATCCATAAAAACACATGCAGCATAAAAATAATTATCAATGCAGAACTAAAAGACAAAATTCCATTTTAAACCCCATCGCATTTAAATGCCCATTTCTTTACACCATCAGAGTCATGAGATAGTTACACTGAGATCTTTTGGTGTCAGGTAGCACATTCTTTATTCTCCCAGGCATTTAAAGTTTTTATTTTTCATATGCTATTACTGAATGATGGACATTTAAACTTTTGCTAATAGAGTAGACCAATAAGCAACAAATACAGCTGCTACACCAGCACAGGGAAACACTCGTGCAGCAGAATGTACTGCCTGAATTTGCTTTTTCCTCTTCCTTCCCAACCCCCTTTCCTTCTGTGTTACATCTTCCAGCTTGTAAACTTGCCAGCAGAGACTTTCTTATTTCTCACCTCTGCTTGTTTGTTTTGGTTTTTTGTTTTATCCCCAACAAAATCTAATATTGCAGATGAGTGGAAATGCTAGTTTCTGGAGTGGGCCAGATCAATAGAGCTCCTTACGGGGATCTTGGATCACCTGCCCTGTTTTATAATTAGCATTTCCACTCCTTCTGGGTTGTTCATGGAACCACAAAATTGTTGTTGTGCAAGTGTTGTTCTCTTAGGTGCATGGATACAACAAGATATTGGTTCCATGGTCGCTCTGGTGCTTGTAATACTAATTGATATGAGCAAAGCAGATTTTTCTGTGTTGATTTGAGTGTTATATTGACACCATAAACTTACTGTTTTATGGGGGTTTTAAATTATTTTCAGCCATCCTGTAGAAACTTGTCATAGGGTGAGTAAAATATAATAAATAATAACATTCTTGTTAAGAGCCCTTAAAATCCTGCTAGGCCATCCTGATACAAAAGCACCTGTGCAGAAGGGCCATTGGGAAAACATTGGAAGCTGTAATTAGAAATTAGAAATCCATGCTTCACATTCAGTGGTAAGAGTCCTTTTTATTCGTCATTTTGCTGCCCTCTAGTGATCGGTCTCATGTGGCAGCTGTGAGTGTCTCCCAAGTTTCTGATAATTGAGTTATACTTTTCCCCCCTGAATTAAAGTAGTGGAACATTTCACTTTTAAGCTTTGACTGATATATTAAGTAGGCCCTCTTTGATTGCAAAAAGTTTGGCAAATATACAAGGAGACACACCATTGCATTCCCAGTTGGAGTAAAGCACTTTTAATTCCAGTTTTTTTCCAAGAACTGAATTGTTGTAAACTATCCAGAGAATGTCAGCTATGGGTCAATAAATAAATAAATAATCAGATACATTTTTATCTCCCACTGACACCATGGTGACTTATAAAAAGGGCCAAGCCTGTAGCAAGAGGGATGCCCCATAAAGCTCAAAAGAGGACATTGGAACCAGAAAACGCAGCAATTTCCCAGTCTTCAGGGATACCTCTGGCAGTACAACATCACAAGACAAGTTCAGTGGCCCATCGAATGGAAAATGCTATAGGATGGAGGAGGATGGAGAGGTGAAAATCAGTTCCATCATTCTTCCCACCTGGTAGAACACTGGATATTTGGGAGCCTCCAAAATTGGTGGCTTCCATCCTTCAGCCTGTAGATAGCTAGGATTTCTCACTTATATTACCAGATGCGCATAGAGGTACAAGCTGGTCATCTCACATCTTCCCTCTGTTGATAACTCTTCGTATTGTTTTTGATTTATTGGTAATAAGCATCCCCAATTTCTAGTAATTCAAAGAGCACCACTGGTTGATACATGTTCAGTAGGATTTAATGCTCTATCACTGGTTAAAATTTGCTCCCATTCATGCACTGAAGCTCCATTATTTGTTTTTCATTTTATTTACTTAATTAATCCATCACCTTTCTGTCAAATATTCAAGCAATAATACAACCATAAAGTTATACTAATTTTTCTCTTAATTAAGTTTTAGTTAATTGATCTATAAATCAGACTAACTGTAGTTTGCATCTCTAATTTATAAAATTTGCATATCTTAAAAGCCCTGAGCCCAAAATATTCCTAGCAATTTTGCTAGGTCACAAAAAGGTTGATCATTTTTTTCTTTGTCAAGTCAAAATTTATTTTCTACTTAATAAGAGCCTTTCAAGTTACAAAAAGAAAGAGAGCAAATGTTGCTTATTGTATGAAAAATGTGATGGTTTCCCTAAATAGACATGGTTGCAGTATCCAAATCTTCTAACAGTGATATATTATCCTATAGCAGTATAATGGTGGTAAATATAACATCATCTAGCATGTAGATGTAACACTGGCCTTTTTCAGACACTTAACATGAATATATAGGGGCACAAAACTACACAAGAGGCAAGATGCTAATGATAAGGGAGTCACTGGTTTAGTTTACATTTTTATACAGACTTATCACATTCATGTTACCCAACCCTGTGCTTGAAGCAGAACACAGTTTAAAAGCACTTTCCTGAAGTTTGCAATCAAACTTTATACAAAGCATGTATGCCACAATGTGTACAGGACAGTAACTGGCACCCAAGCAACTGTACATTACAGAGAAGTACACACAAAAATGCTTCATCTTAGGGGACATGGCCTGCAAAAATGTGCATAATCTGAAAAACATGTACAAAATGCAGACATTTGGAGAAAAATGCACAAAAATACATACAAATTTGCGTGCAGATTTTATTCGCACCAACATAGGAGTACTCACTTGAAAACAAGGGACTGCTGCGACCCTTAAATTACTGAAGAATCCAAGCCTGATTCAGGGATGGTCCCTCCCCTTCCGCTGAAGCCTCCCACCTCCTATGCCACATTGTTCAAGAGACTCTCCAAGCTTCCAGGGGAGTTTTGCAGAGGTAGCTATACTAAGAAAGAAGGGAAGTGAAATATTCCTTCTGTGGACTTCTCATAGGAGTGAAATCGTATGCCCACTTCTGTGGAAGTATGTATCAGTGGGGCCTACGTTGACTAGATAAGTGTGTATGTATAGTATAGTGTGGTAAATTAATTTGTTTCAGGACTCAAGCCTAAAGTCAACTTCTCTGTATATCAAGTTGGAATAGTAAGAAGTTTCTGAATGAAGCCAATTAGATACCTGATCACTCAGAAAGCCCCCCAAACTGGCAGCTAGACAGCTGATCTGTAGTTGCAGCAGCTTGCTGGATACCATTTCTGTATCCCTGTGAGCTTTGGAGCCACTGCTCCACTGAAATAGACTGCGCCTAAATCCTGCACATCTGTCTGTCTGCTGTTTGCCCTGAAACAGGTTGTTGGTTAGTCCTGGCTGCATAAAGAAGCATCCTAGGACTTCAGACATCAGTTAAGTTTGCACATGACTGCCCCGGCATATGCAGAAAAACTGGGGAAAGGACCAGTGATGCTTAATGCCTAGACCTCATTTGCACCAGATTTGCTGGTCCCCTTTGGCTGCACCAAATAAGGGATGAAGGTAGAAACAATGTGCAGACCCTACCAGCCTGGGTGCATGGTCTAAGCATGAGTCCTCATGCTTTTGCATTAGCAACAAAGCAAGAGGAAACCACCACACAGAAACCCCTACCGGCAGCATTCCCTGAAAATATCCCAATAAGCCACAATAGGTGATCCCTTTTGTGAGCCAGGCTTGATCTATGTATCGTATTGTATCTCACTTGGTATTTTTAATGGCTAGTTGTGTTTACTCAGGCAGAAGAAAGTACAAGATAATTGGTTTCTAAGGTCCTTCAGTCTTCAGATGTAACAAATCCTGAAGAGAAACACAGCATGGTTTGATTGTCAAAACTGAAGTCGGAGTAATTAAAAAGATCAAGGAAGCCAAGTTTATTGTAACTACTACTCTGGATAAAGCTAAGTCGGCAGCGTGCCCTGGTTGCCTTGCTGTAGGCCTCACTTCCCTGCAGTCAACTCCTCCAAAGCCTTGATAACAATGGCAAGTGAATTTTTCTTCCATTTCTTGAATGTCAGTTGATGAAGCTTTCCCTCTCACAGAAAATTTCTGGTCTTCTGAGGCTTCTATTTGAAAGTTATGAGGATTTAAATGAAGGTAGTCCAAAGATTTCCAGTTTCTTCGTATGCAGCGCCCATTGTTCTGGCAAAGATGCCAGCTGCAGACCTCCGCTGCTTTGGTTACATTGGTGATGTAGAAACCGAGCTCAGAAGCCATGAATTGTTTCACCTTTGTACAGTTGACCTGGAAAAAAGCATGAAGAAAAATGCAACATTTCAGATCATGTGAAGGCATGCTCAGTACCATCTCCTTACCACTGAAAAATCATATTAAAATAGTGCCCCATATAGTCTTGCATCTAAGAAGTCCAGATGCTCTGCAGAAAAAAATTGAATGTTTGTCAAAGGGGTGGGAGGGAGGTTTACATGGCAGGATATTCTTGAAGTTTCTCCTGTGAGCAATAAACTTATGCTATTTAAAGAAGAATTGGCCTTCTGGATCCTTCAGCTGAACAGCAACCTTGGAGTTGACAGATGGAGCTTTATCAGGCAAGATTGAGAAAGCTGTATCTACTGAAATTCTCTCTTCTAGGCAGGCTTGAAAGATACAGAAGCCTGAAGCCTGACTGTAATTATTGTGCAGACTAAAGATTCTATGCAAAATTACATTAGCAGAAAAATGAGAGAGATCATTCTTGTGTTCATGGTTGTACAACTTCTAACAGAGCACCTAACACAACTCACACAACCAACCTCTAGTCCAGGGTTGGGCAGCTTGTGGCTCTCCATGTGTTTTGGCCTAGAACTTTTGTTCTTCCTTATATTTGTCTGTGCTAAGGGCCGAATGAACTTGTTGGTCAAAACATGTGGAAGGCAATCAATTCTAGCCTAATGAAGTAATAAGGAGTGGTATGATGCTTTGTGCAACAGATTTTGCAACAATGTGGAACAGCTTTATGCTGCAATGCCTCTATCCATGTAGTTGCTAGATCAGATTTTTGGTTCTCAATTTTCAAGTGAGGTGGAACAGATTTCTAGAAAGGACCTGATATGAAGGAGATACATGCTATAGGTGTGAAGGCAAAGGCAATGGCTTGCACTACATGAGTCTATGGGGTCTTTGCATCTTCAGGACTTCTAAGAAAGTAGGAAGGCATAATCTTTTCCGAAGCTGGCCTCTCAACAACAGGGGTAGGCAAACTGCTGTCTTCCCAATGTTTAGAACTACAACTGCCATAATTCCTGGCATTGGCCATGCTAGTTTCAGTGTATGGGAGCTGTAATCTAAGCATTGGGAAGGCTCCAAGTTTCCTAATGCTGCTTTAAAGGACTAGTTGTTGGGCAGAGCAAGGAGTGTTCATTGGTTGAGCAGAAGTGACTGGTCCCATGAGCAGGTGATAACTCAAGAAATTAGAGCTGATCCCATTCCTAGGTAAGTATGTTAAAGCAATCAGGCAATACAGGAGCAGATGGGCACAATGGGAGTCGAAATGAGCCATAGCTGAAGTGGGGAGAAAGGCCAGAAGTTGTGCAGGGACTCCTTATTGTATGGAGAAAGGCAAATAAGTTAGATAAAGGCAGGAATGATTTGAAAAAGAAGTACAAACAATCCTAGAGGGTGCATTAGAGCAAATGGCTGTGAAGTGTATCTTGGCCAGAAGTTTGCAAAAGAAAGTGGTGGTTAAGTTAATAAGTGCACGATCCTATACAAACAGAAGAAGACCTATAACTGCCAGCATTTCCCAGCCAGCATGCTGGGAATGGTAGGGCTGTTTTGGGTCTAAACCTCCTTAGGATTGCTCCTTGGCAAGAAGAAGGCTTGTTGTCCCTGACAGAGGGCTGGGACCTCCAAGAGGTCAAAAACAAAGATACAGCTCAAACTCTTCTATTTTGGGGGCTTGTCAAGGAAAACCAGGTAGATGGGACTTGACCTTCACTCCTTCTTATACCTACAGCAATCCAAACAATGATAAATTATGGGGAGTAAGTGTCCCATAATTTAGAGGAGTAAGAGCCTTCTTTTACAAAGAAATCTTCCAACAAATTCCCTACTGGAGAAAAATTGTTAAATGCCTCCAAAGTATGTGGAAACTGTGGTCACATCTGCATAACAAATTTAGATCAGGCTTATACAAGTTTATATAAGTTTATAAGTTGAGACTTCCCCAAAGAATCTTGGGCTTTATCTTGGAGAATCTTGGGAGGGGTGCTGAGAATCCTGTTATAAATCTTTAATACTCTCAAAAGTAGAATCTCAGGGAAAAGGAGTGACTATTGAATGGATTAGATTGTTGGTGTTGATATAGTCCTTAATTTTCATACTATGCAAGCAGCCCAGCCTTGGCTTCAAGAAAGGACAGACCGGACAGCTCATCTGATTACATCAATCAATTCAGGTGGACAGAAGGCTCTATCAGTCCTGAAACAAACACATTTATTCAAAGTACAGATCAAAGCTTTTAGAAGCATCCACTGACTGTTCGTGCTGTTTTGACGGCTGTATAGATGCCCTAGGACTAGCCCTGAGGAAATTTATGTATCATTGTGATTGGCCAGCTGAGAACAGGTTGTCTGAGGAACTCAAAATATGAGTAGACTAAAACTGCATAGTACAGAGTGGGAATCATGTCTACTGTATCAAACAATATCTTCAATTAGAATTGAGGCATTGTTTACCTCAGATGAAGTTAAATTCATGTCTCCCCAAATAACAATTCCTGCGGCTCCCAGAGCAGCACTTTCTCCAATAGTGCTAACAAGATCTTGCTGCATTGGAAACAGAAGAAAACATGATCAGTCTATGCTTTCATGATGTATCTTGCCAAGGATGGGTAAAGAGAGATTTAAAAACTCCTAGGACACACTGTATACTTTATAAGGGACTGAATCTGGAAGAACTAGGTTAACAGTAAACCAACGGATCTTTAAAGTCCTATATAGAATTTTACTGCATTCATATTTTATGTAATGTGATTTTTTGAGGTAAATGTGCCAATTCCATGTCCTTAGCAAGAGTGTTTTGTTATTTTGATTGTGGTGTGTCCATTTGATGTGATCCATCCAAAAGCTCTGGATCACCAGCAAAAAACCCCCTGAACCTGGGATGGTTTTGCTGTTTGAAATAAGAGACCAGCTTTAGGCATTTTCCATCTTTTAGAAATCCAGAGGAAAGCACGCATCAAAAAATGAAATACTGAAGATTTAAACGTTTTGTTCCCGGAGGCTTCTTCATCACTGGATTTTTAAAACTGGGATAAGTGAGTCACTCACTAGATTATTTTGAGTGTGTATTTGACATGCCAGTGCTTCATACTTATTTTATTCTTTTTCTGTTTTCATACTCTGATTTCTATATTCCCTGAAATCACATTTTCCATAATTTAGCAGGATGCCACTTCTTGTATTGTAAGCAGGAAGCAGCTCCTGGAGCAAAATGTAACACCCAAAATGTGTCCTCCCTTCTGACCTCAAATATAACAAATGAAGCCTATAATATGCATTTGCCTTCCTTTATCCAATGTAGTGAAAGCCTCCATTTAAAGAACCAAAACCAACCAAACAAAACAATGCTCACTTGTAAAATCTAGTTCTTTGAACATTATAGAGGAGCGTGCAAAATTAAGATGTGTTATAGAGTTACACATATTAATATCCACATACCTATTTTATTTTCCTAATGCACTAATGCTATGTATGGATGTGCCAGTAGACCCTCATGAAAAGACCACTGGGGACACAGCAATGGTAGGCAGAGCCAGAACCAAGTGGGGAATATTTGCAACATTACATGGCTCTTTGTCTCCTTGCTGCCACTTCACATGAAATTAGGTCCATGGGTCATAGGTTATTCACACTACCTATACACAGTTATAATGAAACCCAGTTTGCATTTCAGTTTACAGTAGGATGTTGGGCAGCGTAAGAGATTACTTGGGCTATGGAAAGTTTGGGTGAAATGGGAGGTGGAGTTGGAAGGTGCACCAAATGACAATTGGGATGGAAATTGGTCAGTTGGGCGAGAGAAAATGGCAGAAGGTAGAGGGAATTTGATGGGGTGGTCTATCTTTGAAAGTGTAAGAGTGGTCCTGCTGGATCAAGTAAAGGCATATCTAGTCCAGCATGCTGTTTCCCACAATGGCCATCCAGAAACCTAAAGAAATCCCACTCTGAACACAGTTGCACACTCCCACTCATGCTTCCCAGCAAATGGGATTCTTAGGCACACTGCCTCTGATGTTGAAGTTCATGTACAGCCTCCATGATAAGCAGACATTAGAAGCTGTATCTTCCATGAATGTGTCTAAGCCTCTTTCAAAGTCATCCAGGTAGAACTCCATGGTTAAATTGCATAGTTGATCTTGTGCTGTGTGGAGCAGATAATTTGCCAGTTATAATCATCTTCATATCAGACTTCAACGTGTTCCTCAAATAAATGCTCTGTTGATGACTGAGTAATTTTCAAGTGAAACCAACAGAAACAGGATTTGAGCATGTAGCATAATACTTACTATCATCATCATCATCATCATCATCACCATCATCATTTCTATACTGCCCAATAACCAAAGCTCTCTGTGTCATTCACAGAAATTACCAGTAAAAATTCAGCATAAGAATATAGCATATTTAACATACAACATTTAAAAACAATTTAAAACAGGTTTAAAAAATCCAGTTGCATAAGATATCAAGAGCTTTCACAGGAAATATTTGAGTAATCTTATAACAGTAGGTATCAAATAAGTCTGTATCATTTTATCCATGTCATGGCTGGATGGCTGAGGCTGAAAGAGAGCTGTTTGCTTAAGTTCATCCACTGAGTTCTCCCCAGTGAGAGCTCATTTGCTCACTATTATACCACACCTGCTCTAAAGTAGGTGCTACAATTCCCTGACACAGCTTACCGTAGACAGAAATAGCAAAGGCTCATCTCTATAATCTAGTCGGGTGTACACAAATACTGGGAGGGCATAATGATGTGAAGTCATGAAAGACACCCTCATAGATTCATTCACCCTGAATTGTGAAAAGCGCAGTACATTTTCACTGTTACCATGGGATTTCTTAATGCCAATGGAAGGATAAAGAGCTTTACTGCTGTTCCACAGCCACGACAGTTCATTGTTCCTCAAGACTTCACTTTCTGGACAAGAGCCAGTGTAGTTCTGGTCATGGAAATTATAATTGTGGCAGTCTGGATATAAGTAGTATCCCCACAGGCCCTTGGGTCTGCTTTTAATTCCCAGCTCAATCGTCTCCTTCATGAAAGCCTTAGCACATTGTTCAAAGGATAGCTTCGCTAAATGTTCAATGACATTTGCTGTAACATTCTCTTGCATTTTGGAAATCAGCCTCCTTGACTGTCTCCTGTAAATATTCTTCCTATTCCAGTTGCGGTCCCATTGTGGCCTCCAGTGTTCCCAGTCGATGACTGCCAATCCAGTGAAATCTTTATCAGGAATGTAGTAGTTAATGTCCTGGCCAGCTTTTTCCAGATGTGTTTGCAAGCTGAAATTCTGAGGTAGGCCCCCATTGACTGGGATTTCCTGTGAAGTGTACCATGGGTAATATCCTAGCCTATTGACATAAAATATAGTCACATTCTGTCCTCTTGCTTTGGCAAACGGGCTTCCAATCACATGGAACATTTTCAGGTTAATGTTTACATGATATCTGATTGAGCAATGATCTGTCGGAGCATTCCAAGCTGCTATAAAGGGCTTCCTTTGGAAAATAGGCAGCTGAGCTGGCTTCATCGTAAAAGTAAAACTCCAGATAGATGTAATCTGTAACCAGAATGTAATGTGGACCTGCTGGGTAATAGATAACAACATTTGAATTTTCAGTACAACTGCCATGATATGAAATGCTATTGCAAATACAGATATTTCAATTTCACTAGGTCTTTAATGAACAAAAGAGTCAGTCAGTAGCACATTAATTTTGAAGTTCTATGCATATTCCAAGGCAGTTGGTTGCAAGATATGGCATTCAAGATATGAAAACTTTAGATAATATTTGACTCTTTCTACTTCAGTTAAAGAACCAGAAAATATTGCACATCTGCAGAAATAACCTTGAAAATATGCCTTGCAAATATGTTATTGAGATTGAAAAATGCAGACCAGAGGTCAAGCAAGAGCACAATCTTATGCATGTTACCGGCAAGACAGCACACGGGAGTGTGTCTTATCAACACAGCAGCAAGCCACATTGAACCCAGTGGTGCTTATTTTTAGACACGGAGTGGCATCCGGTGGGACCACTGTGCTTCCACTGATGCTGTTATGCTACCAGGAGGGACCAATGGCAATATAGGAAAATAGCATGTCATCCATCGAGACTCGAACAGAGTTGAAATGCTCATTTCAAAAGTGGAACAAAGAAGTGGAATTGTCTTGCATGGGCTCTGTTGACTTGCCCTGTTCCAGAAATTAGTATTTCCACCCCTTTTGACTTGCTTTCTGAGGCATTAAATATCCACTGCTTGAACAGTTGGGCCCAACTGGAAACTTGTCCATGAACACGATCAGCTTGTACAGCAAACTACTGATTATTCCAATATAATTTCTTATGACTTCCACATTTGTCACATGATTTTGAGAAGACGAGTTTAGTCCTTTGATTTTGCTCAAAGAAATCCTATTCATTCTAGGTTTTTATTTTTAATTACTTAACTCGGCATAGGTGCAAGGGTTCTCTTTGGCCACTGGGTGTCACTGAGGGTCTATTTCATGGTCCTTTTAAAATAAGACAAAGCTATTTAAGGAAAAGTTAAGAGAGCATTTTGACCCAGATGAATGGTTTTGTGTTAATTTTGGTGCTTACTGAACAGTGGGATGGGAATGCTTTTGACTGAAAATATGCGGTTCCTCAACTCTACGTTTGAAAGGAGAAAACAACAATTTTGAGAACTGCCACTGGTCAGTGGCTATTACCTGTACTGTTATGTCAGGGTGGAGTGGCTGAAAATAAATATGACATCAGCTGTGCTATATAAATAGATCACATTCTGGCTGCTAGGTGTCTCAACTGTCAAGAGGTCAAAGAAAGATCAATAATTTTAAATAGTGGTGCTGCAATATAGAATCTAATTATGAATAGCAGCTCAGCACTAGTACAATTTTCTGACTGTTATATGTCAAAAGAAAGACATTTTCCCAGCAATTCTTCTCTTTCTATCTGCTCTCAAGTCCCTTTTTATCCTCTTCCCCTGATTTCATTACAGATGGTCAGTCGCATATGTTGCACTGGAACTATTGCTAAGATTTAACAAAGCTGCAGTATAATGAATTTTGCAGTGATAGGACAGAAGGACTGGGTTCCGGCAACACAATAATGCACACTTACAGATGTGTGAGGAATCCGTTCAGGAGTGGGAATCTGTGGGATTCCCTGGGCCCAGTTCCCTGGACTGCAGTCCCTTTCACAGTCGTCCTGAATATGAGTTCCTGGCAAGCACACCTAGCATTTGGGGGATACTTGCCAGGAATCAAACCCTGACAAGATTTGATTCCTGAATCAATACACAAGCAGTGTCCCCCTCCCATACCATCTGCAAGTGCAATTTGGGTGTCTTCAGATGATGCCAAAAGAAGATTAGTTATAAGAGTCTTGCCAGGAAAGTAGCCCCACAGGAACTCTCTCCCACACCGAGTGCAGTGGCCATTTTGGTCGCTGCAGCAAGGAAGGGAACCCTACACAACTGCTGTGCAAGCAGCATCTGTCTCCCATGTCAACTGAGCTGCCCTTTGGGCTGCTGCTCCTGAGGGAAAAGAAGGTTGCCACTTGTACAACTGAAGGTCTGAGAGTGTACATGGACTTCCTTTCAGCTCAGCTTGCTTTGGAAGACTGAACTGAGCACAAAAGCAGCCCCATGAGAGCTTGGAGAGATGGATTCCAATCGGGTTCATCCCAACCCTATCAACGCAAAGCCTGAGTGTGAACTGAGTGTGGGTTATCATTGAACTGCGCGTTGTTGCTGAAATGTGGGTGACCTTGTTGTCTGAAAGCAACCAAGGTAAATGATGGTAAACATCCCATAGTTCTCAACCCAACAACAATGCATGGGCAGTTTCACACAACACATTTGCTGCAGAAGGCTTGGGTGAAAACTTACTGTTGTGGGTCTGTTGTGTCATCTGGAGCCAGCTCTGGAGCTCCTGCATGGTAGGATTAGTTTTCTGAAATCAAGGAGAGAATCAGTGGTGGTTTCATCATGGCTTCTTGAGTCATCTGGACCCAGAATTGCCTTTTACCATGCAGTCACTTCTAGCTTCAGCTCCCTAACTATTGCTCTTGTGATTCCTATTGGCCAAGCAATGTGGCTATCTCCCTGTTTACTTTTGGAGAGAGAGGGAGACAGTATGAAAATGCACAGAGGGAGAAGAGGGGATCACAGCAAAGCTGTTTATTTTCATTCAGTAAAAATCTCCATGGGGGCCAGAGCAGCTGAGATACGCCACAGATGTGCAAGTACACTCAGGAGGAGGAAGGGGGAACTTGCCTCAAGACCTCAGCAGACCAATCAAGAGATCCCCAAGAATGTCAAATGTCACCCTAGTTTTTATTTAAACTCTAGTAGTGTATCCATTATTCAGTGTCAAATTCTGTCCGAAGGGGGAGTGAGGAAGGGGGCAAGCACCATCCCCCTTGCTCCAGCAAAAGCGAGAACGGAAGAACCTGAGATAGGCAGGAAGTGTCAAGAAGGGAGCCTCCTCACCAAGCCCAGGCTCTCCTTGCCCTCTCTGGCAAGAGTGAGGTGCATCAGCTGTGTGGTGTTGCCCCCAGCTGGGTGCCTAAGAGTAGATCCAGCAACTAACAAGCTCTTGAGGTCTCTGGAGCAGGAAGCAATGGTGCCTCATCTGCTCCCCTGCTCTCTCTGCTGTGCTTTAAGGTATGATCTCTGTTTGAGCAACAAAGACTGTTCAACAGCCTGTGCTGAGCCCAACTTGGCTTGTGATCCTGGCTGTCAAAGGCAGCAGCTTCCTTCCTCCCCTCCGTGTCCCCTGGGATACTGGCTGGAAGAGTGACAATGGAGGAGGCAGGAGGTGGAAGAGAGGAGCCATGATCAGCAATCTGTCAGGCTCGTTGTGGCTGCTTGGTGCTGCAGGCCAGTCCATCAAGGTAATTGACCATGCTGGGTGTTGGAATACGCAAACCCTTCCAGCATAAGACAGCTTGCCATGTTCAGTTAAGAAGCATTTGCATTGCAGTTGTATATGAATAACCTGAAATGGAAACCTTAAAATGTTCTTATTTTGTAAGTGTTGTCTAGGTGGGTCTTTGAATATTGCCTTCTTTTTCTTTATCAGAAAAGGTCAGGCTGTTTGTTAATAGCTTTTGCTTCTAGATCTTTTCTAACAAAAAGAAAGGCCTTGGGATTGGGATATCTGAAGGAATACCTGTCTCCATATATCCCTGCCAGACCACTTAGATCTTCAGTGGATGCCCATTTTTGTGACCCAACCCCCAAATGAAGTGAAGGAGGAATTTGTGAGAAAACAGGCCTCCTCCATTACTGTACCTCCCCTTTGGAATTCTCTCTCTAAAAGAAATGACCCACATTATTCTGCTTTCATCACAAGTACTTTAGTACTTGCTTTTAAAATACTTGTGGTTTTATCATGCTAGTTCGCTGTTTGGTTTCATTGCTGCTTCATTTGTTTCCCTGTTCTATATTTTTTATTAATTGGATTTTATGTTGCTTCAGATGTTATAGTTTTAATCTTATTATGGTTGTATGGCTTTGTTGGTGTTCCTGTTTTGTGTGAGCCACCCAGAGAGCCCCTGGGCTATGGAGAAGCATACAAATACAAAAAATAGATAAATAAATAAAGTATTGCTTCATCTTTTCTCCTGCCAATTATTCCTCTTCCAATACAGATTCCTACTAGGAATCATCAGTTCAGAGATTAATAAAGATGTTGGTGACTTTTTCTGTTTTGCCCAAAGCCCAGTACTGTATTACTAATGAGACATGGACTGGGAATATTCATCTGAGTGTCATTAGGGTACTTCAGTGTAATCTCTTTTATTTTCATTGCCTGTGTGACACTCACAGCAGCTTTATGCACTATGCACTGTTGAAAATAATCACAGTGCATTCTAGGGAGGGCAAGATCCAATGATCCCGTTGATCTTTGGCATCAGTTATGATCATGTAGCACAGAGTGGGGGGTGGGGAGTTGGTCAGTCATTTTTCAAAAAGATTCTGTAGGAGAAGGAAGAAAGAATTACTATGCAAGTCAGCTGTGCCTAGGGAATGGTTCTAATCACTCCAACATATGCATAGGAAATGTTTCCAAATATACCTACCAAGGATTTGCTGCTCATCTTAAACTGGATGAATCAGTAGTAATGGCCCTAGAGTTGCTGATATTACCCACTAGAGTAAATGGTGAATAACATGAAAGATATGTCAATTTAATGTGAAGACTGTTTAAGTTTCATTTTGGTTCCTCCATAGAGTAAAGCTAATTATCAATCACTTCTGTGATTTTTTCTTTCTAATAAAGAAGGAGGAGGAAGAAGATGAGGAGAAGTTGTTGCATTAAAAACAGAAGTTTTATAAGGACAGCAATTCTATAGGGAGTAATTCGGAGTACATCCCGACAAAAGGATCCAAATCAGAAAGGCACAGCCAAGGAGGATCTTTGGTTAATCAATGAGATATTAATTAACCAAAGCACTGAGTCATTCTGTAGTAAATAGAAAAACTTGCAGAAAAATGGAAAGTGAAGACCATAAGGGTAAT